ATTCGATAATGGGCCACACTGATTCTGCGGATTCGCAAATGCTGTAACAGCCTCTTTGCGGTCATGAAGAATGAATAAACGTACGGTCCAGGTGAAATATGAAATGGGTTCTATGATTACTCCTCAACACCATTCCCAACCCTTTGTGACTATGGGGAGGTTTCCAGGCACAAAAGTTATAAATTTCAAGTTTATCCTAGAAAGCGTGACAAGCTCTCTAAAGCACAATCTGTATTCGTAAAACGTTGAAAGAAAGCTTCAGTTGTGCACGGAGAAAGACCGTCTGAATTGAAGACCAGCAGACAAGCAAGCCCAAAGTTTGCTACATTGTTTGGATTTGTAGTGGTTCAGTGAGATTACTAGAGAGGATTCAGGTAATGATGCTGTCGTTCAGGTGGGGCCGTTATCAAAAACTTTACTTTAAATTGAAAGCCAGGGTAGGCAGCTGTTCGGAAGCTCATAGGTGCATGTGCCGTCTACTCGGGGGGTGATGGAAAGGCAAGTTCCACGGTCGGATTATGCTGGATGGAAAAGTCGGTGCATCGATGCTGATCCTCACGTAGGAAGGTGCAAATGGAGAAAAAACTCGTCTAGATTTTTAGGGATTGAGATGTTTTTCGGCTTGTACCTTATGAGATGAACACCATTCTCTCGTATGAAGAATTGCTGCGCCTCCCACCTTGTTAAAAACGAACGTCTGATAATTCCAAGCGCCAAGTCTGGACAAACAGAACCTCACCATCTCTTAGGCGAAGCAACCCCTTACAGGGAATGAGTACAGAAGTCTCATCCATAGGGTACCTTCCGTACGACCTAGACATGTCCTTCCATCAGCTCTGGCGCAGGGGTAACCAATGATGGAGATAACATTTCCCTTCCTTTTCCCTCCAAACCGCCCTTTTCCTTACCCCAATTTTCAGGAATCGTGAGTTACTGAGCCCGCACTCCTCAGGCAACGGGTGCAGAGAATAAGGGGGTTCTTCGGAACACTTGGGTGGGTGATCGGTGACACCTTAAAAATAAAACTGAATCACAGGAGGGTTGCCTCCAAGTACATCGCAATTGAGGTTGGAATCGTGGTGGTCGTGGTTTGAGAACAACTAGTACCTTAGCTGAACGTAAAGCCACTCCTCCTAAGGCACTCCTCTATTTCCCTGGTGGAGGCTTTTGCTGAAAGCCACAAAATTTTAAAAGCTCATGGAATATATGTCGAATCTTCCTGGCAGAGATTCCCTTGAGGGTGAGGTCGGAAGTTAAAGATCCTCAGGCCGAATAAAGAAGGGAACATCTAGTCCAGAAGTCTTCTGACGTCTGTAGGTGGTTCCGGGATGCCTAAATGAAGCAAAAGTTTTTGTAAAAAATAACGTCGGCAATGCAGAAAGGGGTGATTTGTCGCAAGATTTCAGATTGTAAAGATACTATTCTTTTTAATCTCCAGATATTACATTCCACGTTTTAGTAGGTTTACTATTGTATATAATTTTTTTGTCAAATATTATTTACGAACGTAAATCAAGAAATCTATATTGTGACGCAGTTATAATTCACTTATTTATGTCCAGGTACGTTTTCTGTTTACCTAAATTCCTAAAGGTGGCCATTCACGATCGCTCCAAGCAGGCCAAACGGAGCGACGCCGTTCCAAAAACCACGTCAATGGCAAAACTGAACCGGCTGTGCCTTAAGGTGGCCATTCACGATCGCTCCAAGCAGGCCAAACGGAGCGACGCCGTTCCAAAAACCACGTCAATGGCAAAACTAACTGGCGTGGAGGGTGGGGATTTTGGCGCGGTGGCCTGGTCGTGAATGGGAAAACCCTCGTTTTTTTGGCGCAGTCTCCGTCTTTCTGTCACTGAGCAAACATCTCCGTCGTACATTCTCAAAAAGTCAAAAACGTTTATTCTTTATTTGTAATGACATCCAATCGAGATTTTATTGTTGAGGTGATTGAATTGTATGAAAGTTTAACATGTTTATGAAAGTGGTGGACAATGATTATATTACCACGATAGAAATAAAATAAATTCGATCCTCAACCGGTTGGTCGACGTTTTCAAAACAAAGGATACAAATGCGATGAGAGATGAGGCATTGATAACCCCTAACAATGATCAGAAACCGTAGTAGAGAACTTAAGTTCTTTGTATTTCATGTAGTTCATCCCTGTAGGGAGAAATCGTAATGTGCTTGCCAACCTTTCATGTAGTGATGATTTCTCTCATGACTGTCTTTTGTTTTCTAATCAAGGGGGTAACAAGCTGGAGTAAATATAAATAAGACGTTAATCTTTTTTTTGTAAGGTTTTGGTTGAAATGAAAAAATAGTGTCACGAGGGGATTCGAATCCACGACATTCGGCTAAATACGCCGCTGCTTTACCACTTGAGCTATCGTGACTTCGATCCACTCGAAGGCCATGGATTCAGATCCCGCTCGTGGCACTAGCTTTTTCATTTCATCACAAAACCTTGCAAAAAAGATTAAATAATTGAAAGAAGTAATTTGGTCAATATAACACTAAATAATGAAATATAATGTACAAATAAGACGTTTCATCCATCCTTAAATAGTTCCTCCAATCCAATCATCAAGGGAAAGATCTTTCATCAAATTGATGTGGGGATTACGGCTTCTGTTCAGGAGCCACTTCTTACACCACTGTCCAAAAAATCCCAAAAATAGCACAACATAACGTAAAAGTTGTATGTTAGCTTTTAGTAGCATTGGTCTTGATCCGGCATTTGCGGTGTGTTAAATTAATTAAGATAAATTAATGGGGAGTTAAATGGGATTGCACTGAGCTCTTTGTAATAGTTTAACAGCAGATAAAATAGTTAACGAATAGCAAATGTAATAATCGGTGAAAGAACAAATTCACATTAGCAATGAATGAACGAGATTAATAATTCCGCGAAATTTGCATTCCAGGTGAAATATTTTTTTCTTATTTTTTTTTTTTTTTTTTGGAAGAAGGATAACCAAAATTATCCGTCAACCTTTCGGTTATATCTAACGAATATATATATAAAATAGTAAATACAAAATATAATATAGGGACCACTGTTAATATAATTTAACAATTATCACAGGTAATTATTGTTAGCTCGATACAAAATAAAGAAAAGAAAGAAAATATTATTCTTCGGATTTCAATTAGAAAACCTGAAGCCATTTAAGCGTCTCGATCGGATTTCTGACTCTGCTTTTAAATGTGCACCACGTCGATATACTAAAATGTTAGCCATCTCGTTTGTACCTCAGGGTGTCAAATACAGAATATAACCAAAACATAAAATACACATACATCAACATAGATATCTGGTCATATGCACTCTCACAGAGTACACGATATTCCTCGGGGTGGGGTTGAACCCACTCCATTCTCGCTAATAACTTACTTTTACTCTCCAGACGTCACACACTCACCCCAAGGATGTCGACATCCGCGGAACAGGTATAAATAAAATAAAAATTTGTTTTATAAATTACATAAAAATAAAAACAACTCCAAAAATATTAAAACCCAGGTCAGACAACAGTACAAAAATATGAAGAAAAAAAACCACAAAGATAATAATTAAATTCACTAATTTCGTGGTCCGCTTGACCAATTAACATATTACAATGATAATAATATTAAAATAGAAGTTTAAAAAATATGGAGTTTATTACATAAAATTACAATTTAAACGTCAAAATAAAATGAATACCCCCAAATAAAAGGTACTGGAAAGATAAATTAAAATAATCATGTAATTCACTTAATAAAAACTTTTAAAAAGGCAAGCCTTATAATAAAATGTTGTAAAATACTAATATCTTTTATTGTACTGATGATGGGTGTAAATTCCCAAAACTTCCTCCCGAAATAAATATTGAATTTACTTTACTTAAAAAAACTACAAGGAATTTTTTTTAACAAAAACAAAGAATATTTGCTAATTTACTTAGTTATACTTTTTATTTAAGGTGTTGGTTGATATAAAAAAGTATGTATCACGAGCAGGATTTGAACCCACAGCCAAACTAACTTTTTCATCTCAACCTTAGATAAAAACTTTCAATTAATTATTTTTTATGTAAGGTATAAGTTCAAATGAAAAAGTTAGTTCACGAGCGGGATTCGAACCCACGATTTTCGGCTCAATACGCCGCTGCTCTACCACTTGAGCTATCGTGACTTCGATACACTCGGACACCAACTTCCCATCTCACCCTACTTTTCGAATTTTCTCTCCTTTTTGCCGTTTTTCAAATGTCATGTGATCAGGATTCGATTCTCGACAACAAATGAAATGCCACGAAGAGCTTTAGTGAAGATATACTTCGTTTTATTTATTCAATCCATTATATATCCTGGTCCGATTGACCAAACAACTTCTTTCAATTTATTAATCTTTATGTAAAGTATTGGTTGAAATGAAAAAGTAAGCGTCATGAGAGAGATTCGAAACCATGGTCTTCGGCTCAATACGCCGCTGCTCTATTAAACGCACTAAAGGCCATTTCAATTGTAGCCGATCGTATCCTTATAACACGACATTTGAAAAATGGGAAAAAGGAGGGAAAATTCGCTCAAGTGGTTAGAGAGAAAGAAAAATTAATTGAAAGAAGTTATTTGGTCAATCGGACCACGAAATAAAATGGACTTAGATCAAAAGAATAATTACGTAAAATAATTAATTTGGACAATTATGACTACTAATATGAACTGATATTTTTTAACTTTAAAAAAGAAACTACAAGTATGCAGCTACAATATTTACATACAACGCTAAATATAATATCAAGATTCAATATTTCATTCTTTAATTTATGTTCCAGGCAATAATATTTTGTACAAGTTGTTTTCTATTTGAATCAGATAGTGGTGAACTGTCAGATGATAGTTTGAGCCCAGTTCAACAATACGGGTGTTATTATTTTAATAATATTTTGACGAATTATTATTTTCGTCCGCCGCACTCCAATCAGTTGTGTTCTACCTCTCGATGCACAACGACCACACGGTTGATATCTTTGTCTTCCAGCACCGCAACATCAGCAACCCCGACTTCTTTCCGCATAACCGGAACGCTAAATCGCATCTGTACAACCCACAAGTAAACTTTCAGTTTCTGTTCTTATTCTTTGTAAAGCTAACTTTGTTTTCCTTTTTTTCTTATTCATTTAATAGCTCTTTCTTTTTGTTTCGTTATTTGTAATTTTAACTAGTACTATAATTTATTTTGTTGGTTTTTATTTTTATAATATTAAAGTAACTTAGTTTAATTTTGCCGTAACCTTCTTTCCTTTTTTAAAAAAATACACTCAAAGATTAAAAAACCGGACACTCGTATTTTGTTGATTATCTCAAACTAAATGTCTTTTTGTTATTATATTTATTAATTGTTATTAATAATTTTAATGTAAACCAAATTAAACGAGATCAGCAATTAATAAGTTTTAACAACAAATGGGCTATGTAACGGAAAGGCCAAAGCCCTAGCGAGATCTTCTTGAGATAAAACCACGCTTTTAAGAAAAAATAGTTACTATTCTTTAGTTAAATTTATTGCCTAATCAAAGAAAAGGATGTAAAAAAATAACAAGTTGGCTCTAGAAAGATTGAAGTATTAACTATTTTATGACCAATTATTAATTATTATTTTTGGATTAAGAATGTAGCACCCTGAATAATATAATAAGTGTCAAATGCTCTAGCAACAATGCGAACGTTAATTACTTGTGGACCCCATCCCTAAGCACAAAACATTCGCAATAATACTGGGGCATCGGTGGCCGCAACGGTTTAGGCGTTGACACGGCGCTCATCACTGTAAGGTAAAGGTCCGGGGTTCGAATCTTAACAATTCGACACCACACTTAACAATTTCCCCAGGAAGTCTTCACATGTATAAAAAAAATTATGTTGGTCAGAGCGTAGATTGCAGTTCTTAACACATTGAATAACCCCTAAAACAGGGCGTCGGTGGTTACAACGGTTTAGGCGTTGACACGGCGCTCATCACTGTAATGTAAAGGTCCCGGGTTCGAATCCAGCGGCCCTGCATTCGAACACGACATACTTCCAACTGGGCTTATTTTTTTTTCAAAAACACCCTGAGGGTTTCTATGACATCTGCTGTTGCAAAAACACAACACAAAAACAGTAATACTACAAACGAAAGCAAACCCCATTTAATATGACTGATGATTACACACATTATTTTTCAAAACTACATACTTCTAAAATGACCGATTTGGAGCATACTATTTTCAATATAATGTTAACGTTCAATGTTTAATTTATCATATCTTTCAGCTTTGATTGATATTTTCGTACGGAAATCTCTCTAACAAATTAATGAAAAAATTAAACCTCTCTTTTTAATCAGGCGATGATTCTCAGAATTGTTTGAATAGTTTTATGTTTTGTCATATCGTCACGTGCTAGCATGTGCCTCGATTTCAGCCTACGGGCAGAAAAAAGAAAATAAAAATCCCCAGTTAGTTAATATTGTGTGTTTACAAACGGTTAAGTGATCAGAGATTGCTTTGGTCGGGCCTGATAACAGAAATCACGGTAGAAGCGTGTGTCGACGATGACGTCGCTTTCTCATATATAAACCCGGCCCATCGCCGATTTAATCAAACGATTTCCAGTGATCGATCAGTGCAGTCGCTACAGTTCCAACAACTCACCTAAAACCTCGAGGTTGGTACTCGGATATTTTTCTACCGCTTTTCTCTTGGATTGTGTTTATATTTATATAACTATTTTGTTTTGTTAGATGTTGATCGGATCATGCAGCCGTTACGTCACCGGAGGAAGAGCTCTCCAGACGGTTTACTGGAGGGCGAAGCCTTCGACAGGCGCAGAATCGGCCAAGATCATCAAAACGAGCAAAACGCTTCATTGGGGCCGAGAAATCGCCAAAAGGCCTTACATCAGCGAAGCGATCAAAAACGGTCCGAGATTCATGTGAAAATCAAGAAGACTCCAATGTACTTATTGTAAATAGTGTACATAATTTTTTTACCTAATAAATCTATTTATTTCTTCAAAAGTTGGACTATTTAATCATATCCTCATTACCATTCGTAGTTATAAGTTATGTTCACTTAGTTTTTAGTTGATACTATTATTTCTATGCTTACAATTCTTTTCAAGCGAACCAAACCTTTTCTGCTTTTAACTATGTTGTTTGTTTTGCCTTTGATTGTTTATTTTTGATTTACATTAGACAATATTTTATTTGTAAGTTTTTGCCCGAATTGAAGCTATTTTAGTGTTAACTTAATATACATAAGACCTAGATCGAATAGGTATGTGATTGATCGTCGTAGGAATCGTCATAATTTCTTCATAATCTGATGACAACTTAACTTGCCTAACAAATTTAGAAACAATTTAACAATTTTGGAAATGGGGCGGCCCGGGAGTAGGCAAGCGGGATCACGCTAGTTTTATATTTTCCTATTTTTTATAAGTCAAAAATAGTAACTCCCTATTGTCCCTATTTCAAATCTACAAAGGTGAGCTTGGGCTCGGTATTACCTTTTCTCTCAATCCAATTCATAGGACTGTGCAATGGGTGCTCCAAGGAGACTCCAACAAGGTTTCCTGGCACAAAATAATAGTGTAGCCTTGAGAACGTGACACACTCTTTAAAGCCCAAGCTCTATTCGTGTTTCCTGGCGCGCATAATTTCCTTAAGCACCCTCCGCGTGCATTTGGAAGATTGAACGAAGGAGGCGTATAACATGCGAGGATGCAAAGACTACGCCTACCCAGTCCCTCGAAATGCATTAAGGAGTTGTTGGCTTGCTGCTAGCCGCGGAGGGCAGATGCTAGATCAGCGGCACATATGGGTTAGGGAACCAGTTCCTCTCTGCATAGACGGGGAGGGTACTGAACCAGCTGAACGACGGGATAGCTCATAGTCGTTAGTTCCAAGCCCAGTAGCGTTCTATATGGGAATTTAGAGTGGCCTTTCAAACCTGCAAAGGTTGCCTAGAGTGGCCTGGTGAGTATTTAGAGAAGAGCCTGTCATTCGGTGGTGCCCGCATTGGCGTCATACCGAAGGCAGGTTCATCTACGGGTAGTTAGAAATTCCAACTTTAAACGAAACGAAGAGTTGTCGTCTCTAGGGAGCGCGTTAGGAGACCGGCTGATGTATTTCAGCCCTTTCGAGTATATCTTTACGCGCGGCACACGGTTAAGAGCACAATGTTGACACACCCTTTCGGACGGGCAAGCGGGAGAAGTCAGCATGTCGATTAGTCTGTGGATGTGGTGGCTTCTACGCCGAACCTCACGGTTCAGTCAAATATTGACACTATTTACCGTGAGCTGAGGTGAGTTACTTTGATCTTGAGAATCTAAACGTGTGATAAGGCCTAATTTGCCAGATGTGCACGTTAAAGAAGCTCATTGTCTAATGACTCCCTTGCGACCACCAATGGAAAACATACATGACCTTAATTCCCAATAAGCTGAAAAGACGTCATATTCTCTAGATTTTTGGCAGGCTCGCTAGAAAAAATAACCTGTACACTACTCCAACGCTCAGTCGAAAACAATATTTTCTAGGTGTAACTATTTTTCTTTTAATTTGCATTCTATTTTAATGCCTACTTTGTCGAATACCTCGACTGGGATACATATAATGGTCCACGTGTAAATGTTGTGTTTTTTGAATTTATAATGCAATCTATATTCTCAAAACGTTGACTTTGTGACTTTCTTAAGGTCATAGCAAATGATGGACGGACTGGTAGTCGCAACAGTTTCTAAAAAAAGGCATCTCTGCATCTTCTCTGAGTCTAAATATATTCAAGGGATGTGCACAATATCACAACAGCACAATATCAAGTGCAGTTCTGAACAGGTGTCCGAAGGTGTCATTGATTGTAAATATATACGTGTTACGACTTTGTCACCAGCTAGTGACTCAACACGATGTGAAATACACTTAACAATTTCCCCAGGAAGTCTTCACATGTATAAAAAAAATTTATGTTGGTCAGAGCGTGGATTGCAGTTCATAACAGATTGAATAACCCCTAAAACATGGCGTCGGTGGCCGCCACGATTTAGGCGTTGACACGGCGCTCATCACTGCAAGGTAAAGGTCCCGGGTTCGAATTCAGCGGCCTTGCATACTAATAAAACGATCGATGTATTAATAAAAAGTGAAATAGTTTGTACCGTATTTTTTGCGTAAAATAACTTTGCGTAAATAAAGGGAATGTTAAAATTGTCTATTAAATAATCTCAAGATTTTTTAAAACATAGCAACGAAATATTATATGATATGCACATTATTACTTGCTTTAACATATCATCATCATATTCAGTTAACTACTAAACAAATTACGTGTTAATTAACTATTATTATTTTATGTTTTAGGATATGTTGTTTGATCAAGAGGTTTGGCCCATGCCTATGAATTAATTGGTCATTTCATTCCCCTAAGGATCCCTCCTTCTCGCGTCCACACATAAATACATTCATTAGATCGGCGGAGTGTTCTACTCGTCTCCCTATTTTTACACAAAGTGTTCTACTCACTTAACGGATCGTTAGGGTAGTTTCTATTCCACCACCTACCTTAGCACACAATAAATCTATGTCATTATATACACTGGTGAACAAATTTACAATATTTAGTTTAATCTTGAATCCAATATTGGTGAAATATTATACTGCGGTACCTGACAAATTAAAACACTTAGATAAAAACAAGCTAAGAAAAGTAATTTGTCAACATTTAGTCACACGTGCCTTCTATAGTGCAGATGAATTTTTAGAAAGTTTTAATTAGATTGTTTTATCCTACATTGATTTATTGTAAATATTTATTTATTTACCAGTATATATAATTTTATAACCGTTGTAATTTGATTTGCTTATATGTATTTTTCGACCATTGTAATACCTAAGTTACGGTTGCTACAAATAAAATCTTTCTCACTCTCTCTCTCCTTCACTCCCTCACTCTCTTTCACTCCTAACACCCAGAAGAGTTAGAAACAGCTGATCGTCATGAATGGGAGAGAATTTCACAGGAATTTATCAGAAATCTCTTTCAAAGAAAGCGAAGGTGTTTAACGGATGAGATTCGGTACCCGAGGCCGAAATATTCAGTACTAAAGGGTCGAAAGTGTTTCTTTTGTACATTTTTATTTGTTTTTTATTTTCTGTTTTTTGTTCTTTACTCAATCATTGTTTTTTGTATAATTAGGTAATAAACATTTCCTTTTTAAATAATAAAAATATTTATATATATAATATTACATATATTAGAAAAGTCTTATTTTCTAGAACCAAACTTATTTTTGGTATGCAAAATATGAATACACCTAAATACTTTGTGCCATTGTTAGGTGGGCAATTTTTTTGACAGAATATCAGACTAAAGACGAAACTAAATTAAATTGAGCGTGACTCGTCGACACAAGTTTTTCCAACAAAATGCAAATTTTCGGCCTCCCAGAAGGGCAATCGATAAAATTCGGTATACCGCTGGAGGATAATGGACTGGAGAACTTCCAAAAAATTTCAAAGCTCCATTTGTAGTTATTAACAGTTACCAACCCAACATTTTCAAAAATTTCCAAATTTCAACATTTTGGTTTTTCTGAATTTTTCGTGCAGAACTTTCCCATTTATTTAGCAATGTAAATAAGTTTTTCTACAGCAAATTTAACTTTCATTCAGGTGGCACAAACCAGATTTTTCTACAGTCAGTAATTCTGAAGTTTATAAACAATTTAGTGGATCTAAGTCGGAAAATTAAAAAACCCAAAACCTTAAATTACTTCTTTACCGTTCAGATTTGGACAGGGATTTATAGGAAGTTTTTTGTTGCGGTGAGTAGAAACACCTACTGAAATTTTCGACACTTATTGCCAGTCACCTGTTTATTAGAAATGTCTTATTTTTTACAACTAAACCTATTTTTGATATGCAAAATATACTAAATCTATATATATTAAAATTTAAGGTGCCTTAATTTTTCCATCAATTTATTTAGCCATTGTGCCATTGTTAGGTGGGTTTTTTTTAAACAGAATATCAGACTAAAAACGAAACTAAATTACTCCGAGTTTTTCATTAATTTATTCAGTCCATCGTTTTCAAAATTGTTACATTCGTGTTTTCTTATAGTCACGTGCAATCACGTTTAAACCTAATGACAGGCAAATGAAGATATAAAATGTACGGTTGGTTAATCATCAGCTTGTCACCGGTGACGTCGCTTTCTCATATATAAACCCGGCCCAACGCCGATTTAATCAAACGATTTCCAGTGATCGATCAGTGCAGTCGCTACAGTTCCAACAACTCACCTAAAACCTCGAGGTTGGTACTCGGATATTTTTCTGCCGCTTTTCTCTTGGATTGTGTTTATATTTATATAATTATTTTGTTTTGTTAGATGTTGATCGGATCATGCAGCCGTTACGTCACCGGAGGAAGAGCTCTCCAGACGGTTTACTGGAGGGCGAAGCCTTCGACAGGCGCAGAGTCGGCCAAGATCATCAAAACGAGCAAAACGCTTCATTGGGGCCGAGAAATGGCCAAAAGGCCTTACATCAGCGAAGCGATCAAAAACGGTCCGAGTTTCATGTGAAAATCAAGAAGACTCCAATGTACTTATTGTAAATAGTGTACATAATTTTTTTACCTAATAAATCTATTTATTTCTTCAAATATTCGGACTTTTTAACTATATTCTTGTTACCACTTCCATTGGGTTGGTGCAAAATTAATACAATTTTTGAAAATTTGTTTATCGCAGGTGCTTGTCGTGTAAGCAAATCTAAATCCTCAAATCTTATGTATGGATTATAATAAATACTTTTAACTGTTATCTTTTATATAAAAAATATTAGTTTATATCGAATTTTATAACAGTGCGGACCTGCAAAATTAAATATATATTATAAATATTAAATTTATTTGTACGAAAACATGGAGGAAGTGCCAAGCCGCGCATAACATAAATACAGTTGGGGGGAAGCATTAGCGAATGCCCGGTGCAGCGATAGTTTCAAAGATTTCGTCTTGGAGATTTCGATCTCGAATGGAAGGACTGGGTAGGCTTTCCGTTGTGGACGTCGACCAATTTATTGATGAAAATTCACGTAAGCCAATAGGGAATTGCGGAAGAGCTTAGTGTTCACATTCAACCGGTGTTGGCCATATTGGTAATGTATGGAAGCTCGACAAGCGGGTACCGCACGAACTAACCGATACCCAAAGAAATTTTCAAGTCTGTTTTGGTAAAAAATGATCCATTTCCCGCTCGAATTATCGCGTGGGATGTGAAATTGTTTATATACGTTAACCAGTGGTCCAGTGGTTGGACAGGGATGAAGCCCCAAAACATTTTCACAACCCAAATCTGCGTCTAAAAAAAGGTGGAGTACTGCTGGAGTTGTTCACTGCAGTTTCCTGAATCATGGTCGAACTATAAAGCAGAGAAATAATGCAAAGAAAGTGACCAAATGCACGGTAATTGCAACATCTTTGTCCAGCATTGGTACACTGGATTCTTCTTGACGACAACGCCAGGCGACATGTCGCAATGCCAACCCTGCGAAAAATTAAGGTCTTAGGATATGAAACTTTCCCGCACCCTCCATATTCACCCAACCTCTCGGCCTACAGACCTCCACTTTTTTACGCATTTTGATCACTTCTTCAGGGATAAATTTTTTAGAGAAAACGGTGAAGCCCAAACCTCCTACCAAGACTTATTGTGAATCGAAATAAAGATTTTAATGTCAGCGGAATAAAAGCGTTTATTACACGTTGGCAAAGATGTATAGATTTTGATGGAAAAATATTTCAAATAAATTTTCTTTATTTTATATAAAATTAATTATAAAATTAAAAATAGAAGACTGCCTTTTCAAAACCTGCATTAATTTTGCACCAGGCCTGTAGTTATAAGTTCAAGTTGCTGACAGGTTTTAGTTGTTATCTTCGTACAATTCTTTTCAAACAAACCAAATCTTTTCTGTGTTTAACTGTGTCAGCATATAATCAGATAAACTAGATGAAACGAAAATATTATATAAATGAAAGTCGAGTTGATATTCCAAAACACACAGAAGCAGGTTTTAAACCTAATTCTTTCATTTCATTGGGCAACGTTTTAGAAAACAAGATTACTTCCTATACTGCACACACATTAAAATCTTTCGGGTTGTGGACGAAAAGATAATTTTTTCTTTTCTTGAAATATAATTATAAACATTCTGAATAATAATTGTCCCCTACCCAAAAAAATAATAATAATAAAAAATAAAATAACATCAGGCGATTAAAAGTATGGGTACACTTTTAATAGTTTTGGAAATTAAGAGGAAACAGCTTTGTTTATATTTGTATATTAAAAGATAATTTTTTTCTTTTCTTGAAATACAATTATAAACATTCTGAATAATAATTGTCCCCTACCCAAAAAATAATAATAATAAAAATGACCTCAAGAAGACCCAATACAACATCAGTTTAAACTACGTAGGTCGATCAACGTCAGCTATAATAATAATAAATAAATAAAATAACATCGGGCGATTAAAAGTATGGGTACTTTTGGCTGGTTTTGGAAATTAACAGGAAACTGCTTTGTTTATATTTGTATGCAATTAGCAACTAATTTAATTTACAAGAAAAGGAACGTTTGTACAGTTTTTCCTACAAAAATCGATCGGTATATTAAAAAATAATTTCATGGATCCTATGCGATCGACCAACGTTCAATACCGATGTTTCCGTTGAATTTGGATTGTGGTCAAAATAAACTAAAAAATAATAGTTTTGTATCAACTAAAAGCTTTCGCCAATTTTTATTGTCTTCCTCAGGGCACTACAGAGACAGATAATCAATAAAATATAAAAATTTTGTTTCATTTTGGCTACTCACAGATACTCAGTCAATATCTAAACAAATGTTTATACATCACCCATTTGTTACAACCTATTCTTCACACAATTATTTTAAGATTTCTGTACATAAATAAATATAAAACTTGTTACAGGTACATATATCACAGGTGTTTGACCAGATGAATTGCAATACTTGTTATCACGTGGGAGGTGCTTTGACAGTGCCACCAACTAAAAACTAACATTTTTTACAAGGATTTCTTAAAAACTATTATTATAGCCTGTTTATCTAAACCTTATGCACAATAAATAGCTAAATAAATAATTACATAAATAATCCTTTTGTAAATAACTAAAAAATGCATTGCTAAAAATCCCAGTGGGGGGCCTTGTCCTGTTCTAAAATCCCATTTTATATTATACTCAAACCATTAATATCGGTTTTTCAATTGCTCGAATTGCATACTGGTGAAATGTGCATTATTTCTTTCACATGCCTATATTTTACTCTGTGGTCATGATTTTGACTTTATCAAAGTTCCAGGTCTTTCTTCATCATCGCAATAATATTTATGTTGACGCGTTCGTTCAGACAGGTATTGTTTGGATTGACCATAATATACTTCGGAAAATTTTTTCATTTAATGCAATACACAACATTTGATTTTTGTGAAGGAGGTTCTTTACATTTCAGTTTGGTATAGAAGTTTTTTCCTACCTTATTATTGTACTTATAAACAACTTCATACCTTCTGCTTTTCTTACTAATAACTTTTTTAATTTGTTCGAAGTTTCACTGACATAAGTAACAGGTTGATGAACTTTTCTCTCTACTAGTGGTGTTCTTTCTCTATGTGTCAACGTCCTATTTTTCTGTGTACAGATTAGTGACCGTTAATCGATAGTTATTCAGATATCGTGAGATGCGGTCGGGTTTGATGTAGGTTTCAGAAAAACATTTTCTTTATCGTGCCAACGTTTCGATCTTTTATTGAGATCATCTTCAGGGCTCAAAGTGTTTGTCTTCGGTGTAATTGGGCCATCCTTCCGTGACTCTCAACACGACACGCAAGGATGGCACAATTACACCGAAGACAAACACTTTGAGCCCTGAAGATGATCTCAATAAAAGATCGAAACGTTGGCACGATAAAGAAAATGTTTTTCTCAAACCTACATCACACCCGACCGCATCTCACGATATTTGAATAAGTCCTATTTTTCATTAACCTATTAATCAGGGATTTAGGGTAGCCATTGACCAATAGCGTAGAGAGAAGTTTTTAATTATTCTCGTTGTGGAAACACTCACTGCTGAGCTTCAGAACCCTGTCTAGCAGGTTGTGTATAATGTTAACCTTCATCAGAAAAAAAATTAACCGATGACAAATGTAAAACCCTATCTGTGTTAGTGGGTTTAAATTACCAATTAGTTAACAATTTTCTTTCCTACCTGATTACAACCAAATCTAGAAACGGGAGCCTCCCATCCACCTCTAACTCCTATGTGAATTGTAACGATGGATGGAATGCATTAAATCCTCTCAAATCTCCACCAATTTACACTTTTTTGCAATGAGGAATAGATCGTCAACATATTTTTTGATAATTAAAAAATAAATAAAAAATAATTTCAAACTATGTAGTAAAATTCGTTTTTGCTAATTATTATTTGTGTTAAAAAAACAAAACAAAAAAACAACTGATGTGTGTGAATAAGAGTCATTTGTTTATTAGTACATTGTGTTTCTTCTGTATCAAATTGGAACTAGCTGGGACGTCAGAGTATACCGGAACAACTTCGAAAAAACTTGATAAACATTCTTCCAAAGTTCTTAGCTGAAATACTAGAAAATCACTTTTCCTATTTCTATCAACTTATTTAAACACCTATGTATTACTAAAAACACCTATGCAAGAATAATAGTATTTTTTTTAGCAATATAATATTTAACTAGTAAAATTTGAAAAAAAAAACTTGTGTCTTATTAAAGGATTTTTTAATAATAGTTTTACGAAGAGTTGTTTGTTTTTTAATTATTGTATTAGATGACTGATACAAACTTTTCATTTTTAATTATGTAAGCATTTTTTTTATCCAACTTTATAAAGCGTATTAACAAAATACATAAATTCATTAGATTTCGTGTGATTGTGATTTGGATCCACTCGGACACACTTGAAAAATGGCAAAACGGAGGGAAAATTCGAAAGGTCGGGTTGAGATGGGAAGTTGGTGTCTGTGTGGATCGAAATGGTAGAGCAGCGGCGTGTTTAGCCGAAGGTCGTGGGTTCGAATCCCGATCGTGACATAACTTTTTCATCTCAGCCAATACCTTACATAAAGATTAATTAATTGAAAAATACATAAAATTATGATAACACCAAGTTGAAATTGTATCATCGAGAAAATGACCTATAGAAGGGTAACAATCACAAAATGAAAAAAAATGGATACATCGAGTTGAGGGTGAAGAGGAGATTTACGTATTTATATGTATATTCATACATAGTGGAGTTCATGAAAAAGAAAAATACATCACTATATAAATTGCGCAAATATGAATAGGGGTATTTCTAATTTATTCTTATTCTATTAATTTGCCTGTACAATATAAATTATTGATGTGTAATAAAAACAAAATAGGACCCTGTGCAGACTATTGAGCTACTACATGTCCAATTAATTTGCCGCTGACCTCAATGATTCATTCTCGCAATATTATTGGGAACTTCTAGTTTTAGACAAAGGCTTCTTTGGCAGAAAAAATTTCAATTATTTGTAGTACTTGTAAAATTACCTAAGATAATTGAAATTTCACCGCCAACAACAACACAACATCAACAGTCTACTATTTATTGTATTAATGATTTTTGACAAGGATATTGTTTCTCAAAGTAATTTGCACCTATAAAATAAAAAGAACCGTACTCAGCACAGATAACCTACCAAATTAATAGTTATCGGGTCCCTATAAAACTAAGGTTATTATCTTTAATGGCGAGTATAATAAATATTCAAAACCAAATCACATAATTTATTAGCCGTTCTCTATAAATCGCAGGCTGATGAGATCAAGAAAATATTGCGTTTTAGTTCAAAAGCGGTGGGAAGAGAACGTGCAAAAATGTGTTCGCTAGTTGACTAGATTCATTGTGGAAAAAAAATCTTTTTTTAACGAAGGTTCACAACAGTAGAGGTCGTATAAACCCTGAGAGTGCCGGTGTTTTTGAAAAAAAGCCCATTTGTATTAATGTCGGATTCGAATGAAGGGCGGCTGGATTCGAACCCGGAACCTTTACCCTAAGTGATGAGCGCCGTGACAACTCCTAAACCGGCGGCCACCAATGCCCCGAGAAAAAAAAAATTACTTGTGATGTAAATGAAGAATTTTTTTAAACTTCAAACAGCGTTTTTCAATGAACTTTAATTCAAATTACTGAATGTAAAAAAAATATGTAAAAATGAATGTACGGGAAAATTGGTGTGTATGTAAATGTTGTTTTAAAGAATTTTACAGGTGACTTCCTCACATCGTACCTACATAATATTTCTGGGTTTAATCTATTTTATTTGGTAAAGGCTTATTTTATATCAGAAGAGTAATGGCCAGAGGCCACCCTTTAAATTTTGAAAGTTTGCTAATTACCTGACAATAGAACACAACCTTCAGTTTTGGCCCGTTTAATCAACGGCAGGGCAATAAATTCCTGTAATGGAGAAAACATAAGGATTAACATCGAATTTATAATGGCTGAAGCGGGTGATCTTCAAACATTTCGGGACGGTGGCGGGGATCGTTTATTCCGCAGCATTTTTATAATCTTCTTCGAGCGCTTTCAGATCGGCTTGGGCTTCGGTGAACTCTCCTTCTTCCATCCCTTCTCCGATGTAATGATGGACGAAGGCCTTTTTCATGAACATCACCCCGAACTTGTAGTTGATCCTAGTCCAAGCGGGGGTGATAGCGGAAGTGTTGGTCATCATAACCAGGGCTCTGTTAGTCTTGGCCAAATCGCCACCAGGAACAGTTGCCGGGGGCATATAGTTGATACCGACCTGTTTGAAAGGAAATTACAATTATTGCCGTCTGGATTTAACATTGGAATTCGTATAATCACCTTAAATCCGGTCGGGGCGAAGTCGACGAACTGAATGCTCTTTGAACTTTTGATCCGGGCGATAGCCGAGTTGACGTCGGTCGGGGAAATGTCGCCCCGGAAAAGGAGAGAACAAGCCATGTATTTTCCATCACGAGGGTCGCACTTTATCATTTGATTCGCCGGTTCAAAACACATATTTACCTAATCGGACATGCCAAAACCCCGTTTAGTCGATAGGTATTTCTGAATGTTTTATTAAACCACTTTTTTTTAATGAGCATCAACAATTTTAAATTGATATATTTTTTTAACTTTTATAAGCTTGGATTAAAGATAAGCTGTCATCGTCATATTTGAGATGAAAGCATGCATATGATTTATAATGTTCCTAGAGGTTTATAACTTGAAAACTTTTAATTATTATTTGGTTTAGAAAACATTTTCTTTATCGTGCCAATGTTTCGACCTTTATTGACATCATCTTCAGAGCTCAAATTGTTTTTTTTTTTTCTGTGTAGATGTGTCATTATTGGGTGTCGTGTTGAGAGAAAGAAACGCTTTGAGCCCTGAAGATGATTTCAATAAAGATCGAAACGTTGGCAAAGAAAACGGTTTTCCAAAACCTACGTCACACCAGACCACATCTCACGATCTCCAAATAATCATTACTAACGGTCAATAAGCAGCACACATTACTAACAAACTTAAAATATTAATTATTATTATTTAGAAGATTTAGATTTATATAATATTAATTATTTTGTTCTAAAACTAAAGAATATAATTAGTAAAGAATTAATGTTCAACAGCCTATTATATTTCAAGGGGATCTACCTACAACGTACAGTTTATTAATTCAGAAAACAAATCGAGAAATGTACAATCAAAATTATCACCAAAACAATATTTTCAAAATTAAATTTAATGAGAGTTAAAGCATTGTATGTTAAATTCATAATTATTTTGTTCGTTAAAAACCATAAAATCATTCTTATAAAAAACCAGAATACAGCAAATTTTTCCCAAAATGGTAATTTAACCCTTCCGAAATGTAACACAACATTTTATATGAGGAGCGTTTACTTGACTAGGATGGAACTATTTGACAGATAAAAGTTTGATAAAAGTTTTGCAAATTTAAAAACAATTGAAAATATTTTTTAACATTTGAAGTTTGATGTGAGAAACTGAATTTATACAATGATAGAAATTTTAGATGCAATAAAGTATTTGTACTCGCTCAAAGTGCTTTCTGTGTAGAAAATATTTTTATAAACCTACATCTCACCAGACCGCATCTCACGACCTCCAAATTAATTAACGGCCACTAAATACCACTCACTTGTAAATTGTATTTTTTTTCTGCGAGCTGATGAAGCTGTAGTTTGGTCGTATCTGATCACCCTGGTTTGACTACTCTCACGAATTTGACATGCTTTCCGACAGCTGATCTGAACTTTTGGAAAGGCTATGATGAGGGGAACTATGAGTCCCGATTCAGGTCGACCTAGTTGGAGCTGATATAGGAACGGGTATCTTCCCCGTCTGCATTTGAATATATCGTGATTCTGGAGGTATAGGTGTTCATTTAGACAGTGCCCAGTCTTTATATTGTCAAATATGGTGAATATAATATTGTAAAATATTGTTTCTACTGTCAATGAGTAAGAAGAATAGAGTGAAATTTGGCCAGTTCACTTGAAGTACGTTGAATTATTTACTTTCATCTAGTACTTGTTAATACAGTTCTTTGTTTTTATGTTAATTTTTAACCAGTTTATGAAATCAAGTCCTAAATTCAAAAGGATTCAGCTATTTTTATGTATATAGTTCAAAATTTTTGTTGATTCTTATACCTAATACAATCTCAACCCTGTCCACATGGCAGTGCTCAGATTATTTCTTTCCAGGCAACCGAACAAAATAAATCTTGACACTTCGTAAACACAACCATGAATATAACGAGATGGCAAAACAGGTCTGACAGACCAAACCAACGGGAATGGTTAGACCAGAATGTCCTGAGTCGACCGAACTTCTAAATTGGAATCCCCAGCACTACTTCCATTCTTACCAGCTGCTGCGTGCTCAGCGCGTCATAAGCGGCTTTATGGACCGGCACGATCGGGGCGTAAGTCATGAGCGGAAAATGGATCCTCGGGTATGGCACAAGATTTGTCTGGAACTCGACCAGACTCACGTTCATGGAACCTTCGAAACGCATAGGAGCCGTGATGCCGGAACACACCTACAAAAATAACGCTTGTCATTTGTATCTAATGTATGTCTGGGTTTGAATAATTGCTTAATTAAGTTAAAAGTGTATTTAAGTTAATAAGAGAATCTGTCGTAATATTCTGAGAGCAGATCGATTTATTCTATTTTTATTTTTTTACGAGGGTTCGCAACAGCAGAGGTCATATAAACTCTCAGGGTGCCGGTGTTTTTGAAAAAAAGCCCAATTGTAAATATGTCGGGTTCGAATGCAGGGCCACTGGATTCGAACCCGGGACCTTTACCTTAGAGTGATGAGCGCGTGTCAACGGCTAAATAGTTGCGGCCACCGACGCCCCCGATTTATTCTATTGTAATTGTATTTAATTTTTAAAACAAAAACAGTAGGTTTCCTGAATCAAAGTCAATTTCAATAGATCCCTATCCTATATTTTAAGAAATATACAACGGCAAGATCTCATGAGATTTTATTTTCAAGACTAAATTCTGAGCAATTATTGTGTATTTGAATTTAGTAATTAATTAGAGAATTGGTTATGTAGTCACACTGTGTTACCTGGAATTAACTCAGTAAATTTCTTAAAAATAACGTATTCATGAATTCACTAATTTTCGTGGCCCGTTTGACCAATTAGCCGCGGTAGCCGAGTGGTTAGCGTGAGAGACTCTCACGCCGCGGTCGTGGGTTCGATTCCCACCGTCGCCTCTGGCCCTTTTTTCACAATAACCCCCCCCCCCAAATTTGAACACACATATATGAATTGTCACACGGCTAATATGCATAGTTCATAACGCCAAATGGCAATAGTGTTACTAAAGAACAACGTTTTAAGTTATACATAGTAGGTATAGTAATAAAATCGGTTTTTTCCTGAGGATTTAAGATTTCATCTTAGTGATCAACTTGGTAATAGAGTAAAGGCAAAAATGAACATGGCTGTTACTGTTGATATTTCTAATTAACGGCATCCTTTCGTTCAATATTTAAAAAAATGTAATTGTGAAATATTAAAAGAAATCTAATTATCGAGACCTTTTGATAAGGGTTTTGTGTGCATAAGGGCCTTTGGAGTTTAAATAAATCAACTGCCAGATAATTAAACGTTTGTTTTAAACAAATTAATTTATATTAATCCATTATATTTTGTAGTCCTAATTGACCGTATTAATTATTTATACTTTTTATTTAAAGTCTTGGTTAAGACGAAAAAGCTAGTTGTCACGAACGGGATTCGATCCCACGACCTTCGGCTCAATACTCCGCTGTTCAAAACACTTGAACTATCGTGACTTCCACTCGGACAGCAACTCATCTCAGCCTACAACCTTTCGAATTTTCCATCTTTTTGCCATATTTAACATATTTGTAACATAGTCTAGTAGTAGTATGTTTACAAAAATGTTTAGTAATAGTATTCAATTAATGAAGGGTTTAAGTTGAAATAAAAAAGTCAGTGCCACGAGCGGGATTCGAACCCACGACCTTCGGCTTGATACGCGGCTACTCTACCACTTGAGCTATCGTGACTTCAAGTCGTGAAGTCGTATCAAGCCGAAGGTCGTGGGTTCGAATCCCGCTCGTGGCTTTTTTTATTTCACCTTAAAACCTTCATTAATTGAATGTTATTAATTGGTCAAGCGGACCACGAAAAATAGTGTATTTAGTAACAGTGTTTCTTTTTTTGTTTCCAGAAAACGCTGCACTTATTGTACGATTAAAAAATCATAACTTTTTTTTCAAATATTATTACTAGTACGGAATATCAAGAATTTTAGGTTTAATTCAACTTTTCCTGAAAAATAATTACTTAAAAACAGCGCATTTATTGTGATGGGTAATAGTCTATCTAGTAATAAAAGGATAATAGTCACATATGACTAGTCACCGCATTGGTACAAAAGGCGATGATATTGTCATTAAAAACGGAATGATTGGGTTTATCTCCCAGATTCATGGATTTAAATGATCATGTTCATGTCATGATATAGTCTGACCAATTATCTTGCGTTTGTCTTTTTTCGATGAAAAATATCCATCGAAAAAATCGTTGTGCCAACCCGTCGATAACGGTTTATGTATCTATCTCAACAAACCTTTTAACCCAAATGATACGACGGCGTTTTTTCAAAAATTATATAACAAAATTATATATTGGAGGCTTGGGTGAAGCCATCCTTCTAATCGGCACGTGAAATAAACAATTTTAATAGAAAACTCTCCTATGATTCTAACTCGATAATTAAACCGGTCATTAAAATTATTATCTGCATGCACTTTTAACTATTTAAAAATAATTTTGTGTAGTGGGGTGCAAAATTTGATTTTGTAGTGATTTCTCTAATTTTCATTATGGACGCAATGAACATCAATATTCCACACTGACATACCTCAATTTAAAACTGAAAAAAACATAATTAAATAAAAACGTAATTGTTTACGAATAATTTGTTATTGTTAACATCTGCTTAATTATATTTAGCATATTAAGTCTTTGAATTGATTTGTTTGGTCTATTTTATAAGCGGCTTATACATTTTATTGACCTTAATAAATCGAAATAATTGCTCCCCAATATTTAAGAAAAACTATTTCTTTAAGTTATCTAATATTTACTAAAATTATTATTAATATTATCTAATTTTATCATTGGGTCTTAATCGAATTATTACTTAGCGTAGGACCTAACAAGGCGAATACATTACAAAGAAAAATGATTTAATTGTAATGAAATTATTGATTGACCGATTGATTTATACAGGCTTGATTCTGCACATATGTGCCCATGCGTTTACACATGTGCAGAATCGAACTACGACTTCTGAGAAACTGGTGAGACCTCGGTTTTGTCCGTACCACCGCGGAGTTAAGCTCCAGGGGCTGTTGACAATGAGGTCATTTCAACCCCCAAAAGCATGGAGTTTTAACGGAAACACAACTCTCTCACTTCTTCTTACAATTTACATTTAGTATGAATAGTATATTTGAGGGTCGATGGGTTACTTGGTACGCTCTTGTACTACCAATACATTCACGTTTATAAATACATTCTCAGGAAACAGTAAACCTAATCTTTCACCAAACTGGCTATACAAGACGAATAATTCCAATAAAAAAATCAATATAGAATACTCCTGGTTCGTCCATAAATCTAACTAGAGGATCAAAACCGCAAAAAAGATTCGCTGCCATATTCGACACGCGCTACGGCACAAAAATATCATTTCTGCAACTACTACACAATAAAACAACCCTATTTCTTGGATGAATCAGAAGAAGGGACTAAAATGTTCGCTGCTGTGCTCAAGAACAATTTCTCGTTCATTAGGGTGACATAACCTACGCGCTCTCCACATAAAGCCAAGAAATGACCCACTTTAATTCAGTGAGCACATTGAGCAATCTTTATTTGCAAGCCGGACAAATAGGCGGGTTTTGCCCAAAAGTAAGTGCCAGTATATCAACCGCCTATAGGCATTTCTAACATTTAGGATGATCCTTGGTCTATGGCTTAGTCTTACTGGTGGTCACTTATCGACATGCTCATAGCTCGCAAGACCTTCTCGGATGATCCAGTCAACTGACACTCCTTTTTCTTTACATTGTTCCTTATGAAAGATAGCTGTCTCTTTTGCCCTCTAGCCTGACGTCCGTATACCCAGGCAACCACTGCCGTTTTTCCGAGATGCTCCAACCTTTCTTTCGAACAAAATCGGGACATCTACTGAGCATTTCGTTTTTAGAGCCTACAACGCACTCTCGGAGTCAGTGGAAAACGATGATACCTGGACAGCAAGACACAAGGGTCGTGCCAGACTGTACAGCTCGGCCGTGTGCACATTACAACGACGGTGAAATAACCTTATTTTTATTCAATTAATTAATATTTTTATGTAAGATTTTAGTTGAAATGAAAAAGTTAGTACCACGAGCGGAATTCAAACCCACGACCTTCGGCTTCGAATCCGTGGGTTCGAATCCCGCTCGTGACACCAACCTTTTCATTTAAACTAAAACCTTACATCAAAATATTTATTAATTTAAAGAAGTAATTTGGTCAATAGACTATAGAGATAGTGTCAATAGACTATAGATATAATGGACTTATTTTGATTGTATTCATTTTTTTCAGACTCGACGAAAAATAATAACACGCCTAGTTATGAATTTTAAAAAAATCCTTGACATTGAATGATATAATATTTAATTTATCAATACAAATCGCACGTTTCGTAATAATGCTTTCTTTTTATCTGCTACGTTTTGAAAGGGAGCCTGTTGACGTTTGTAAGGAGAAAAGAGACGCATTAATCAATAAAAAATAAAAAAGACTACAACACAGGTACAAAGTTTGTTAATAATCTCAACCCTAAAAGAGATCAATTAATGTCTATTAAAGTATATTATCCGCCGGTTTTGCGCAATTCTTAAATTATCAATATTGTTATTGTCCACAAAATCTCTAAAAATCTGCACAAGTAATATTAAATATGTGTTGAGACATCAAACAGCGATTAAATTAGATAAACAATCAAACTGCGTGTTTTTTTAATTTTTAAAAGCAGAGAATTTATTGACAAAGTCATTCGCATTATTTTCTAAATTATAAAGTTCCATGTTTTTTCGTTATTTAATTAGCTATCAGTTAATTTTAATATTAAATATTATTTTCAATTTTTATGCAAAGACGGCTCAGATGAAAAATTAGGAATGATTTTTTGCCTTTGGGTAACACTGTTTAATACCTTTCTCTTTAAGTACAATTAAAGTTTTATTTGTCGGTTGTCCCTTAATCTGAAGCCTGCCATATTTTATCCTTGGGACGTTAAAAGATTATTCTCGGTGAGTTTCGATTAAAAAACAAACTGTTGTCTGGATTTCTTTACTGAAACTCCACGGATTTCAAAACGACTACTCACGTGTGTCCTCCAAAGAAGAACACTCGTTGAGAAAAAGAAGTTTATATGAAAGTACATTCCATCATACAATTCTAGTACGAAGTCAGCGAGGAAAGTCAGTTTCATATAACGTTTAACGACTTTCGTTCTCTATGATATGACAGTTGTACGCGCTTAAGTGTAATAAATTTTTTTGGGGGTTGGTAAGAATAAAGTTATATCATTATTAGGAATTATGATCGCAGATTGGAGTAATGAGAGAAATATGAAACAAAATAAAGGATAGTGTTTATTGTTTGTTGTCCCTGCGGGCTAGACGAACTCATCTACATCAATTCTCTGATTGTTTTCCCTCGTCCTTCGAACGAAAGAACCAATTTTCTTCAGTCTCTGATGATGTCGTTGGAAGATGCATCTGCTTGAACCTCTATATGGACAACGAACTTGGTATTCTCTTTGCAGTAGTAGCATTTCCGTGCCGTAATCGTAAATGATATGCGAAATAGGAAACGAAGTCATAATTTAAATCACCAACCTGAGGATGTTGCCAGATGATAACGTAAAGCGAACTGATTGAATCGAACTGTAAAGAACTGACAGGAAACACAAGAGCTAGACGAATTTACTGGAAAATTGACCGAGCCCCCCCCCCGTCGTCGGCACAAGTTTTTCCAAAAAAAATGCAAATTTTCGGCCTCCCAGAAGGGCAATCGATAAAGTTCGGTATACTCCTGGAAGATAATGGACTGGAGAACTTTCAAGAGAATTTGCAACGCTCCATTTATAGTTATTAACAGTTACCAACCCAACATTTTCGAAAATTTCCAAATTTCAACAGTTTGTTTTTTCTGAATTTTTCGTGCAGAACTTTCCCATTTATTTAGCAATGTAAATAAGCTTTCTTACAGCAAATTTAACTTTCATTCAGGTGGCACAAACCAGATTTTTCTACTAATCTTGATACTTCTAGTAATCTTGAAGTTTATAAACAATTTAGTGGATCTAAGTCGGAAAATTAAAAAACCCAAAACCTTAAATTACTTCTTTACCGTTCAGATTTGGACAGGAATAGGACGTTTTTTGTTGCGACGTTGACGGTTTTGAAACACCTCCTCAAATTTTCGATACTTATTGCCAGCCACCCTGTTTATTAGAAATGTCTTATTTTTTATAAGCAAACCTTTTTTTGATATGTAAAATATGACTAAACCTAAATATATTAAAAATTAAGGGTGGTGCCTTAATTTTTCCATCAATTTATTTAGCCATTGTGCCATTGTTAGGTGGGTTTTTTTTAAACAGAATATCAGACTAAAAACGAAACTAAATTACTCCGAGTTTTTTATTAATTTATTCAGTCCATCGTTTTCAAAATTGTTACATTAGTGTTTTCTTATAGTCACGTGCAATCACGTTTAAACCTAATGACAGGCAAATGAAGATATAAAATGTACGGTTGGTTAATCATCAGCTTGTCACCGGTGACGTCGCTTTCTCATATATAAACCCGGCCCGGCGCCGATTTAATCAAACGATTTCCAGTGATCGATCAGTGCAGTCGCTACAGTTCCAACAACTCACCTAAAACCTCGAGGTTGGTACTCGGATATTTTTCTACCGCTTTTCTCTTGGATTGTGTTTATATTTATATAACTATTTTGTTTTGTTAGATGTTGATCGGATCATGCAGCCGTTACGTCACCGGAGGAAGAGCTCTCCAGACGGTTTACTGGAGGGCGAAGCCTTCGACAGGCGAAGAGTCGGCCAAGATCATCAAAACGAGCAAAACGCTGCATTGGGGCCGAGAAATCGCCAAAAGGCCTTACATCAGCGAAGCGATCAAAAACGGTCCGAGGTTCATGTGAATATCAAGAAAAATCCAATGTACTTATTGTAAATAGTGTACATAATTTTTTTACCTAATAAATCTATTTATTTTTTCAAATATTCGTTCTATTTAACTATATTCTTGTTACCATTTCCATTGGGTTGGTGCAAAATTAATACAATTTTTGAAAATTTGTTTATCGCAGGTCCTTGTCATGTAAACAAATCTAAATCCTCAAATCTTATGTATTAATTATCTTTATTATTATCTTATGGATTATAATAAATACTTTAACTGTTATCTTTTATATAAAAAATATTTGTTTTTATTGAATTTTATAACAGTGAGGACCTGCGAAATTAAATATATTCAAACTAGATTTTTGACAAATTTATTTGTACGAAAACATGGAGGAAGTGCCAAGCCGCGCGTAACATAAATACAGTTGGGGGGGAAGCATTACTGAATGCACGGTGCAGCGACTGTTTCAAAGATTTCGTCTTGGAGATTTCGATCTCGAATGGAAGGACGTGGCAGGCTTTCCGTTGTGGACGTCGACCAATTTATTGATGAAAAATCAGGTAACGCAAAACGGGAATTGCGGAAGAGCTTAGTAGTAGTCACACTCAACCGGTGTTCACATTCTAGAGAAAATTGGTAAAGTAAAAAAAGCTGGACACCCACTACCTCACGAACTAACCGATACCCAAAGACATTTGCAAGTCTCTTCTATTGCACCATCAAAATGATCCATTTCTCAAGCAAACTGATTGAATCGAGCAATAATGAACTAACACGTCAAGGTTAGACGGATTTCCTGGAAAAATTTTGCCTGCTTTTCGACGCCACCAGGTTTTTTCAACAAAATGTAACATTTTTTGGCCTTCCAGAATCCAAAAAGGTGAGTGTGCCGCTGGAAGCTAATTTAATGGTGAACTTTTGAGGGAATTTGCAAAGCTCCGGGAGTTTGTAGTATTTCTTATTGACGTTATCAATTCAACATTTTCAAAAAATTCCAAATTTCAATATTTTTGTTTTTTCTGAATTTTTCGTGCAGAATTTTTTCTGTAATATAAATATATTTTCTTACAGCAGATGTAACGTTCTTTCAAGTGGCACAAACCAGTTTTTTCTACACTAAGTAATTCTGAAGTTTATAAGCCATTTAGTATATAGAAGTCGAAAAAAAACCAAAACCTGAAATTACTTATTTACCGTTGAGATTTGGACAGGTTTGGAGGAAGCTTTTTTTATTGCAAATGGCAAATAGAAACACCTCCTCAAATTTTCGACACTTATCGCCAGTCACCCAGTATATGTACTTTTATTTGTATTTATATTGTGATTGTTGTTTTATTATCTCCTTCTTAAAAAAGGTAATCAAAGTGATGTGTTATGTGTTAAGGAGGATGTTCATTGTTATGTGTTGTTGAAAGTAACTATCAATTCTTCGTTGTTGTTTTGTTTTACATTCTCTATAACACAAATAATCAATCTTTAGGATTGACGTTAAAAAAAGTCAAAGTTTCCGCATTGAATTATGGGTAAGATAAATTTCGTGAGCGCGAGCGGTGTGCAATGAAAAAAAAGGTGATTCATTTCAATGAGAGAGAGGTTTTGATCCGATCCTTAAAAAACAGCGGTTATCTCTCATTCCCTCAAAAAGAACACCGTTTGGCCCAATCGTGATCAAAATTTGTCAACTTGATTTCAAATCCGGGATTTCACTCTTCTAACCGGATTCGATTTTCCGCCGAATGGGCCCAGAAATAAATTTTCTCTTTCCACTTATTAATTAATTTTTCGTTGATTCCCTCGCTCTACTAAGCGGCGAAAAATTACAAATTTTTAATCAGGAACGGAGGTTTTTTTCTCCGATTTCTCCAGTCCCGCCCGTCAAATGTACATATTTATTTATTTTCTACTTTTCCAGTCTAAATTAGTTTACTATTTTAGGGAGAATTCAACGGGTTGAAGGCTCTCATGAAGATATCGGATATCTAACGTATTTTTAACGTAAAATTTTTGATTTCTCCAGCCCTTCAGGCCGTCCGATTTTATTTAAGCAAATACGTCTCTTTTGGTTCAAAGTGTGCTTTCTGACAACGGGAAGTGTCCAGTTACTGTTTTGTCAGAGTCGCCGTTTTGAAGGTAAAAGTTAAGTCCTACGTAAAAATAAGCTTAAAAATTGGTAACACTTACCAATTCTTTTCATAATTTTTAGGTATTGTTAGGATGACGTTTCTGTGACATGTACAGATTAGAACGGACTTTTTTTTAAAAAGGAATTCATTTACAATAAATTTCTTTAAAAATCTTCTCCTAGTGGAATAACTGTGAAAAGACACTTCAATGCTTGAAGCCGCTGTCCGGCCAACATTTTAGATTAATGCAGTTTGGGGGTTGCTTGACAGGCATTTTATCTTCGTCCACTTCTAAAGAAGTAAAATTCATTGGGATAGTTTTTATTTAGAAAAATAACCTCGTCCTAATGCAAAAGATTAAGAAAGAGCGTTAAAACTAATCTGCTCATAATCATTTTAAGCCTCTACACTAATGTGATTAATACATAAACTTATACATACTTCAAATAAAACGCAAAATCGGTATCAAGTAAGTCGATGTATGAGTTAGTGGGTGTCCGGCTTAAAGTTACAAATATAATTATTTAGAAATCGTGAGATGCGGTCTGGTGTGATGTAAGTTTCAGAAAAACATTTTCTTTGTCGTGCCAACGTTTCGATCTTTTATTGAGATCATTTTCAGGGCCTGGGTTTATCGGTACTGGTATTAAGCTCTTTGGCGTACCAGGACCACATCTTTTTATCCTGCCTTCTAACCACAAAATTCAGAGATCAATTGTATTCTGCGATTTTACAGTGCGGCTTGTTCTTACCTACTAAAAGCAGTATAATTTTGAGTAAAGTAAACCACCCCCTTATCAGAATGGGATATACAATTTCATTGTGGCTAATGGTTTAGTTATTTAATCAAGAAGATTGGAGGGTAGTATGCCTCTCCCACACTATTCACCATTGTTATGGCAGATGTAAAAACACAAGGCCAAAAAAAAAATTCCTGGAGTTGATAAATCACTTACACAAGAGTAAGGTGCCGGTTTCGCAAAATTCTCAAAGTCAAAAAACGGTCATCCTGTGGTTCAGTTAACCTAGGGTGTCCAGAACCGGGTCATCTATGGTAGGACCCAGTTCCTCGAAAACGTCTAACGGTGTCTCGCAGAGTTTCGTAGGGAACTTCGATGGCAATAGCCGCATATCTGATGTATCTTTTATGAATGAGAGTATAACGACAGGCCAAAAATTGTTGGTCTGATTTAATTAATGCGTATTTAAGAATATAAATACGGGAAACAAAAACAGCTGTTAAATTCATGGCTGCCATGTTGGTTACCTACGCCCTAACGGACACCAATGTGACTACATTTTCGACCTAACACCTAACATTGGCTCGGGCCTGTTAGATCGTGCAATGTTAACTGGCCGATTCTGAAAAGGCTACGTCATCATTTTTCTCGATCTAACAGGACCTAACAGACTTAACAGGGTTAACACAAAGATCGTGAATACCCCGATAATCTCTGATTGAAGAATTATTAATTGTTATTATTATGCTGTTATAATGCTGTTACATTTTCTTATTTATTTAAATTATGTCAGTATTTACTATTGTTAAGGACTCAGCCATACATCACGTGCCATAGTACAACCATGTCAGTATTGATAAATGATAATATGTAAATGCTGATTTACACAAGATTAGCACAACAGAGCAATGTATTTGTTAAGGATTTAAATTAAAAACATAAAAATAAAAAAATTCCGTCATCATTTTTCTCGATCTAACAGGACCTAACAGAGTTAACAGTTTTAGCACAAAGATCGTGAATACTCCTATTACCTTGCTTATTGTTATATGTTGCCTACTTGAAGGTAGTTGCAATGTACTACAAATTACAATTTGTACAACAAATTAAAAAAATCCAATTAGACAAACCATATTTTACTAGATCAGTTTCAAATGGAAAAATTGCGAGTATTGGCCTCATGCCCGAAAGAGGGGTGACTATTTTGAAAGCGTAATAATTTACGGAGCTTTTGTCGGATTTCCAAGTAATTTTTCTTCCTTATCGAAAGAAAGTGGGCCGTTATAAATTGGTTGGATGGGAAGATCGACACATTTTAAAAGAAAGGTCAAGCAGAAAATCCACGGTCGAACGGTAACATCTTTCATGAAGCCACTGTTTGTATAGCATTATCGTTACCGCAGTTTCACGGGCGACTGGTCCGCTGAGCGTCTTATTGATATATTAAAATGCTCGTAGTAAAGTTGTGAAAAAATTGAAAAAATTCATGAAATTCATCTTACAAACATCGTGAATACCCCTAAGGTTTAATAACTGCTTAAAATGCACAAAGGAGGGTCTAATTAAAAATCGAATAAAGGTCTAGATTCATCTTCGTGATCAATTGTACCGTGTCACAACTTTACTGAACCACTGACTACTCCATACTCGTGTCAACTATTGACTGGTTTCTACTGATGGCAACGATATTTCTATATAACGGAAATATCGATGTACACTTATGGACAAAATTAATTAAAAGCTTTTGCATTTCTTGGCAAAGATATTCGATAACATCCTGCGGAATTGAATTCACTAATTTCGTGGTCCGCTTGACCAATTTATATATTACAATTAATTAAGGTTTTTAGTTGAGATGAAAAAAAGTTAATGGCACGAGAGGGATTCGAACCCACGACCTTCGGCTAGATACGCCGCTGCTCTACCACCTGAGCTATCGTGACCTCGATCCACTCGGACATCAACTTGCCCATCTCAACCCCACCTTATGGGTTTTCAATTTTTATTGAGATCATCTTCAGGGCCTGGGATTTACAAATATTGTTTAAATTTGACAAATACATGTAGGATGTGGAAAAAAGTGAATTTATACAATGCAAAAAAGATTGTTTATATTCAATCAAAGTATTTCAATTAAAATGTTTCGTGGGTTCGAATCTTCTGAAGATGATCTCAATAAAGATCGA